CATTAATGTCTATGTATTATGCTATGCTTCCAACTTTGTGGGAACAGTTTGGGGAAGGCCCTTTTCTATTCTAGCTTGTACCCAGTGCACAAAGCAATGTCCATAAATACATGATTGGAGTTTGGTGTGGAAGATCTTGACTGGCCCACTCATTAAAGTCCCAATTGTCAGGTGTCTTAATCAGTGGCGGATTTAGGTATGGGCGACATGGGCAACCACCCAGGGCGGCATCTAGAGCGCCCGCACAAGAAAAAGAAAAAAAAAGGAATGCGCGATCGGGTTTTTACCGTTCATTTGCACCGCACGTCAATATCATGTCACTGTGTGGGTCAGTTAACCTGGTCGGGACTCAGAGTGTGCACCCGGAGAAGTACTCTCTCACTCAGACACAGGCGGAGGGTGAACCAAGCCTAATGTTTAGACTAATAACTACGCACATCACAAACCCGGCTTTTTAGGCAAGTACCAGATATGGATGTCATGTGATAAAATATTTTTAATACTACTGAATTTGTATTTAACCTGATCACAATTTAATAAAACATTGCAAGTTACGCTTTAATTTCCACTTTTATTCACACAGCGAATAAATTACATAGAGAAAGCGAACATTTACATTATCAAAGAACATTGAAGCTTTGACAATCATTGAAGCTGTCTACATTTTAAAATGAATCTCTTACATTATACGTATATTTGCACTTTGTTGTTTATGATGAGAGAATTTGCGAGAGTGCAAACTGCAAAATTCAGTTTGCGAGCATGCGCACAAGGCAAATCTCTGGCATTTCATCGATGTCTCATCTGAACGCCTCTGACCACCAGAGGGCATAACTGAGTGGAATATCTTCCTGTCCTCCTCCTTGTCGAGAACCTAATATAAAAGCTGTCACCTCATAACCTTAATGACCTGTCTGTCTGTAAATATCTCATTACACGTCATCACTTCCTCTTTTGTCTTCTCGTCTGGGAACCTGCAGCGATGTGAAGTGCAGCTAATCAGTAAGACATTGTTTAACATGTGAGCGTGGTCTGGGCATAACTGAGTGGAATATCTTCCTGTCCTCCTCCTTGTCGAGAACCTAATATAAAAGCTGTCACCTCATAACCTTAATGACCTGTCTGTCTGTAAATATCTCATTACACGTCATCACTTCCTCTTTTGTCTTCTCGTCTGAGAACCTGCAGCGATGTGAAGTGCAGCTAATCAGGACAAATTTCCGACAGCTGTATCCCTGTAACACCTAGTAAGACATTGTTTAACATGTGAGCGTGGTCTTTCCGAACCGCCCGTAGGAATTTGGTGAAGTATTTGCATTAAAAAATAAATAACTAAAAATTGTGGGGGTACTGGTGTTTCTACAGTCTAAGAATATGTCCGCACGATGTTCGTCTTGCCAGGAGCTGATGGGACTTGATGATTGACATGACCAGTGTCCGAGCTGCCTAGGCATCGAGCATCTTAGGGAAGCTCTGGAAGATCCATGCATCCATTGCAACATGATGCCCCTAGCAATGCGACAAGCTCGCCTCGCAGGGTTAAGCATTAATGTGGAGGGAAGTATGAAAAGAAAAGCTTCGGCTTCGGCCTCCGCTCCTCTCCCGAAACAAAAGAAAGGTAAAAAAAGAACTTGCTTGTAGAGTTCATGAATTGGCTGATGGAATAGGGAAAATCCAGGAGTTTTTGGCAAAACTGCAACCCCAGCCAACATCTGAGATTTCAGAATCAGGCAACGAGGGGACTGGTATTCCGTCTCTCTCGCAGCCTGATTTAGCATTATTTCCAGATGACATTGACGTGTCTCCGTGGCAGCCACAGACTCGCTGCTCTTGGAAGAACAATCAGTTTTCGATAAGGAACCAGGAATGATTGACAGTGATGATAATGCGGATGATGAGAGTGAAGGTCCGCTTATGTCTGATGTTCTAGTAAACACAATAAAAACCACTTTAGTAAAATTGGGAATGGAACCCAAATCAATAACTTGAACTGCGCATACAAATCGCCTTAGCCATTCTTTGCAGCGCACTAATGTATTTGCTATTCCACAATCTCCAGATTTTACTGAGGTATTCTCGCAAAGCATTTAAATCCGCTCATTCAACCAGACTGGATTGGGTTTCTCATCTGTTAGCAGCAATGGAGGAACCGGGCCCAGTAGGTTTGGGTCCGATGCCTCCAATAGAACCCATCTTTAATTGTGCCACTTGACAAAGCATTGAGACAGGATCTAAGTTGTCCAAATATGGAATGCAGATGGACAGACAACTTAATAGGCGAAGTATACAATTCAACAGCCTGTTTAGAACTATTAATGCGCTTGACCACTTGTAATTGGCAATTAATGCCTCGTTCAGTTCACCAGACACTACAGCCACAGAACTGGTTAATGTAGCTCTGCAATCGGTGGGTTAAATAGCGGGCCATTGTGGTAAAGTTATGGGGTTGTTTGTCCAGGTGCGCCGTCAAGTTTGGATAGCGCAGTCACCTTTATCTGTATGTTGCAGAGCCACTCTGTGTCAGCTTCCTCTGGTTCCCGGTCAGATATTTGGACCAGCAGCTCAGGAGGCGTTAGACCGAAGGCTTGTGGCTTCTGAAGCGCGATGTCAGTTGCAGAAACAGTGCGCTTCATTTAAAGTGCCTGGTTATTCGCCCTGTTCGTTCCCCCTGGGTACTTTTCCCTTGCGTCATATCAGATCAGATCATATCATTGTTCGAGACATACGACGACGGCCTCTGATAATCGTCCCCCCAAAGACAACAAATCCACTCGTAGACAGCGTTGACTCACTGAGGTCGACGACAAACAGGTTTTCAACTTCACAAATTCATTATTGTCATTCAATAATGACAAATCAATGGACAGTCAGTCAACGCAGTGTCCGAGATGGTTCTCACAGAGCAAGGAAGCGGGCTCACTAGGGCAGAATGCAGTGGCCCACAGTTGGTCAAGTGGTCTCCTATATGCGTTCCCATCCATTGTTATTAATAGCCCCATGTTGGCCGAACAGCATGGTTTCATCTCCTTCACCATCTTTTAACGGGTCTGCCAGCCCAGTTACCGATCAGACCAGATCTCCTGACACAATTGAACGGCAGGCTACGGTACGATCAACCTCAGACTCGGAAATTGTGTGTTTGGCCATTGGAGGCGACACCAGACTTCTGGTCTGATCGCAGGGGGTCAGGGACACTGTTCTAAATGCTCGCGCTCCGTCGACTAGGGCACTGTATCAGAATAGGTGGAAACTCTTTTTGCGATGGTGTAACAACCATCAAATAATTCCCCAAACGCGCTCCATACCTGATATTCTGGAATTTTTGCAAAGTTTTCTGACGATGGGCTGGTCGAATTCCACAATAAGGGTTTATGTGGCCGCGATTTCAACACACAGTGGTCTCATAGATTGGTGGTCTCACTCAAATTGGTGGTTGCTTTATTAAAAGGTGTTAACCGGTTAAATCCTCCCTGTAGAGTCATGTTTCCACAGTGGGATCTTAATATTGTTCTCGAAAATCTTTGCATGCATCCATTTGAAACATATTAAATGGCTTTCTTTGAAAACCGATTTATTGATTGCCATTTCTTCGGCAAAACGTGTCATGAATTAAATGTGCTCTCTGTGGCCGCACAATGTTTACAGTGGGTTCCATATTCCAAAGTGATGTTGTGGCCAAACCCAGCTTTTTTTACCCAAGATATTGTCCAGTAACTGTTAACACACCAGTGATATTGCCAGCGTTTCACTGTGTAGACCTCGAGATGCATCAAGAGGTTTGTCCAGTGAGATCCCTGCAGCCAAGGAAATTGAACGTTTGTTACGTATGTAACCATGGTTCTATGACTGGCGGAAGACCGCCAGAGCCTCTGGTCACTCAGGTCAACGAGAAGACTCTGAGGAAGTGATAACGTGTAAGGAGGCATTTATAGACTGACACGTCATAAAGGTCACGAGGTGACAGCTTTTATATTAGATTCTCAACGAGGAGGACAAGAAGATATTCCACTCAGTTATGCCCTCTTGCGGTCTTCCGCCAGTCATAGAACCACGGTTACATACATAACCAACACTATCACGCTAAAATAGGCTAATGTATCACTTATGTTATGCTATGTTGTTACACATAGGGCAACAACATTATTTTTTCTGTTTAACTAGCTTACATAACCACACACTAAAATGTGATTTTGTAATACAATGTATTATTTTTTAAATAACTGTAACATCACTCACTTTATTAATGTTTTTTTTACTGTACAGTTACTGTACAGTACATTTGTATTTATTTAAAATATACATTTCGATATACATTTGTAATAATTTAAATATACACATTTAAATAAAAAAGCAAAATGTATGTTAAATTAATTTGATTTAGGGGTGGCAGAGGGCATGGTTCACCCAGGGTGCCATACAAGCCAGAACCGCCACTGGTCTTAATACTTATATCCCACAATGCAGTGCTCGGCTTTCCAATTCCAGTGTGATGAATGAAGTGCATTTACATCAGTTTTAGTTCACTAATTTTAGTCATTTTGTTGCTTTTGTCATTTTTATTAGTTTAAGGTTTAATTTAACTTTAAGTTAAAGTTTATCAACAAATATATATATTCAATTACAGCTTTATTTTAATTGCTAAAAACGTTTTATTTTTAAGTTAACAATATTGTGCAATTGTTTTCCATACCACACACAGTTGAGTATCGATACTTTCGATACTCGCGTCAGTATCGATATATCGATACTTTGTATCGATACGCCCATCCCTACAGTGTATCAAGAACCGTGTTTGTTTGTTTTTGTTTTTTTAATCGAGCATGCCCAGTTTTAATGGAAAAAGGAAATTCCAGTATGTCATTCCTGACCGGTCCGCTAGATGTCGCCAGTGTACAGTGTTAAAATGGCTCTAAAATAAACCGAGCATCATGATATGATATCTCGGTTGATAGAAACGTGATGAATTGTGTTAGATTTCCTTAGCAGCCCAACACATGCTGTGGAGTGTGTTTCACTGCTGAATGATGTGAGAGAGAGCAAACTGATTGGACTGGTGCAGCAAAACAACGAACATGCGTGAGTTTATGGACTTTTAAGAAAACCAATATACTCATTTTTCAACAATAACATTAATATACATTACTACATAATCCACAATTGTAATTTTGAGGGGTTTAGTCCATGTAGTTGCAACATCTATCATCTAAATCTGACTAAAGCTTTTAGCGGGTACCCAGCTAACTTAGAATGTTCTGGCAAGGTTCTCTCAAAGTTATGAACAAACATTATTCCAGTAATGATAATAGAATGTTTGTTCGAAGTTGTCTGGTCTTTAATAACGATCTCAAAACGTTAGCACAAAGACACTGTTTATATATCGTTAATTAAACTTTTTGGATGAGCTTTGTAAAAATCGACGCGTTTCAGAAAGGCGGGGCATTGAGAAGAAACAATAATGTACAGTATGTGGAAAATAATGTGTTTTTTGAACTTTAAACCACATAAACACATTTCATTAAACCAAATACACAAAATAATGTTCTTTTTAGCAACATCATATGACCCCTTTAAACAGTTTAGTTGGACATTCGTCTAACAGTTTCTAAATGTTACTGATGTTTTTTTTTAAACGTTACTTAGTTTTAGATGATTTATAGAACATTCAAATATAGCATTCCCATAATGTTTGCAAGATGATGAAATTGATTGTACCATTAATGTGGTCTTTTTGCGTTCACATAACCAAGAAAAAACATTTAAAAAAATTTCCGTTACAGTTTCATAACTTAATGGGACCGTTAGCAAAATGTTCTTAGATCATGTTTTTGTTAGCTGGGTATACATCCAAAATTGACATTCTTTCTCTTCTGGGAAAACAAATCAAAAAAGGCTTTATAAATGATTTATTATACTTTTTTAGTATTATTTTGAACTGTTACTGCCTTTTAGTAACAGCATGTACGATTAATTATATAATTGCAAAAATCATAAAAACAAATGATGTTGCAGACTTTCAACTTGTCCTGTTTATCTTATTTAATTTTTTCAGGCTATTCATATATTCCCATCGAAGAATGGCCATCACTGGTGATGATGTCACACTGGATGAAATCATACCCATTTCTTATGACTTTTCAGTTGTTGAAGGTAAGACTTGATTTGATTAATTTTAATTGCAAGTGCACTTTCATGGTAAATGTTAATGGTTTTATCTGATATCTCCACAGTTTCATCTCCAGATGAGCTTGCTGTTGTTGGTGAGCATTATTTTCATCTCAGCAGTTACAGTGTTTGCTGCTACACGACATCCAAAGTTACCATAAAGTCAGTGCATCAGTATTCAGCGTGGGCTATTTTAATGGCTAGTTTATTTGTCTCTACAAAGGTGCAGATACTCGGGTACGAGTAACGTTTTTCGAAGAGGAGTTGGAGCTGAAGTTACCTTTTGGTTCTCATACCCGTCTCTTCCTCAGTGAAGTCAATCGGGCATGGAGTGGTAAGACATTATGTTATGATAAAAGTTCTTATAATATTATACGCATCTCATAAAGTTCCTTTTACACACACTACATTTCAAAAGCTGCTTTTATTTAGCAAGGATGCATTCAGTTGATCAAAGAGACAGTACATTACAAAAGATTCTAGTTCAAAAGAATGCAGTTCTTTGAACTTTCTATTCATCAAAGAATCCTGAAAAAAAAACAATGTATCACAGTTTAGAATGATTTGTGAAGATCATGTGACACTAAAGACTGGAGTAATGATGCTGAAAATTCAGCTTTGATCACAGAAATAAATTACACGTTAAAATGCATTCAAAGAGAAAGCTGCTATTTTTAATTCTAATAATATTTCGCAATATTACTGTATTTTGAACAAATAAAGGCAGACTTGGTGAGCATAAGACACTTATCAAAAACACTAAAAATCTTTTAAAAGCCTTTGGTAAAAATGCGTGAACACATTTAATCTTATTCGGATGCTTTTGTGTTGAACTATTTGGTCATATTCAGTAGGGGAATCCACATGGCAGTGATGCAGAAGAAAACGTTTCATTCGTACCATCCATAGCAAACCTGCCAAACACGTTTCCATTCATCCTAATGAAATGCTCAAACCCATTCAAACACAGCAAAGCTGTCTGAAAGCGAAAGACATCAGCTGACCTGTTCTGTCATTCATTTACCTGGTAAAATGGTACTTTTGGAATCACTGTGTAATAAGAGTTTACAAGGAAGCCCAGCTATACTGCCTCCGAATGCTATATATTTCTTTATAAAATCATCTATAGGTTATTCAGACGGAAGAAGCTAAGCAGCCAGTGTGCTCAACTCTCAGACAACAGCTAAATCTAGCAAATACACGTTAAGGAAGACACGAGAGAGAGAATAAGATTGCGGAACAGAAGGGTGTGAGAGGCGGAGTTTGTGTTCAAAATAAGTAGGTTGTCTGCTTCTACTCAGTTTGTGGCTTTGAACATGCAGAATAAGTAGCAGATTGCGGTTTGCTCCAATGATTGTGGACCTACAGTATATTTTCGTGAATTGAACATGAACGTTTGAAAGTAATTTCATCGGACGGTCTAAAGAGGAAATGTGCTTCTGCTAAGTGATGTGTAACCAACGCTGGAAGGACTTTCATCCCTTGAGCGCTGATGGCGAGTATCAGGGGCTCAGCAGATGTGCTCATTAACCGGAAGAATATAAGAAATTTGCAAGGTAAGCGGCAACACGGTTGTAGATCAGTTGTGGTCATATAGAAACTATAGACAACAGCAGCCTGACTTGCATGCAAAGGGAAGTTAGAGCTCGTCTGAGTGATTAGATGTTGATGTTAGTGTGAGATTGCGGCTGGTAGTTCTGAGAGAGAGAACGGCAGCAAAGGAAACAGGAAAATACAGTTCCTCTTTGCCTCTTTGAACATACAAAGAAATCATTAATGTCCTTAGAGTGAGACCAATCTATTTACATCATTTTCTACATAGTTATCACTTGAAAGTGTTTTATCCTGAAATTGGAACTTTAATTCATCTATGTAAAAAAGTCAGTCGTCTTTTAAACTTTTAGATGTCTGTGAGCAGCATCCGAAGGATGAACCAAAATTCGACTGGCTTACCAAGTACCGTAAGATGTCAAAAGGAGCTCGATCACTAAGAAAGTCAATTGGAGCAACAACTGTCAAGATGAGTCAAATTAAGAAATCAGGTAAGCGTTGCATTTGCCAGTTCAGCTTTGCCATCACATAAAATTAATTGCATTTTAAAATACATTCAAATAGAAAACGGATATTTTAAATAGTAATGATATTTCACAGTATTACAGTTTTGAGCATAAAAAGCATTGCAAAAATCAGGCAGGTCTCAGGTGTAGTCGCACGTGTTCAGAACATGATGTGCTGTCTGTCACTCATATCCTAAGCAGATAGTGTTCAAAGACTTCAGTGAAGCATGAGAGCGTGTTCAGATGCTTTTGTGTAGAACTGGTCATTTTAAAATCAGGGAAGCATTGAATTCTTGCAGTACAAAGTAGGTTCTTCATGGACCTGTGAGATGTCTCTGCTCTGTGTTAATTGGTGATAAAAACAGTATGCTTGCTTTAACTGATTACTGTACAGTGGTCTCTATAATCATGCAAACTCTGAAACCCTTACAGAAAAAAAAATGTGGCCGTTGCACTTTCAATTTGCATGAACTTCTTTTAGTAAACAGACCAGTAGATCCACATGCACTGCATCATCAGCACTGTTTTTATAACCTCAGTGAAACCACCAGCTTGTTAGATCATTAGTAATCTGTATCTCCTGTAGCAATGTTACTGATATGGTATTCATATTTTCAATTTATATTTTCAGTTTTTGTTTTAATTTTTGTTTCAGTTTTAGTCATTTCATTATCTAAAAATTTTTTATTTTAATCTATTTAGTTTTAGTTTGTGCAATCTATAACTTAAACATATTTATTTCCAAGGCAACATTTCTAACTTACCCCCAAAACAAAATCAAGACTTTGTAAAAGAGCATAATAGGACCCCTTTAACTTTTTAAGCTTTTCATTTATTTGCATTTATTTAACAAAAATTATTTTTGATAGTTTTAATAATAGTCTTAGATAACAACCCGCAGGCACACTTTCTACAATGTCTGAATTCATATTTGCATTATAGTTGTAGGCCTATAGTTGTATATACATTACAGGTTAAAGGAAGATATCACTGGATACATTGTTGGACCGGAATTTCGGTGTTGTTACTCAATAACATGCTCATTATATTTATAGCTGAGTCTGATTCATCTCAATCTATTGCTTTGTGTTCGACCGCGCGAGGCTGCAAACGAACTTGAAGCGTCATGACGAATCCTACTATGGCGAAGGCGGTGCTCATGAATATTTAATGACAATGTGACGTTAATCCAACGGCCTATTTGATTGGCTGCAAAGCTGACGTTTGTGAAGACTCATGGCTGGACGTTAGAGGAAGGTTACGACGCGACGTCAGAATGACTACATTAATATTCATGGTCCTTTAACATAGTAGTGCTCGGTGCCAAAAGCTATTTAGAGTCGAATGAAGTCGAGTCGGTCCGTGTGTAACTACAGTCAGAATGCGAAAACAGGGAGATGTCTAACACGACTGGATTAAATGGTAAGAAAAGTGCTCTCGGTTAGATATAAATTTAAGCAAAGTAAATCGATAACTATAGATATCTCCATATGTATATAACTACGAGCGTGTGTCTTCACTGTTATTTCGGTAAGTAGACATAAAATAACTCGGTTCTTCTGGTTTGTCTCAGTGCAGTGTGTTTAGTCGTGATTGACTCTGGCTGTGTCTCAACCCCTAGTGAGCTGCCTATCTAGACAGCACTTCTGGGCGTTCCGACTCGTAGAGCGCCAAAAATGCTCGATTGTTCTAACATTAATAAATAAAAACCATTTGATATTCAGAAATGCTGACTAGATAGGCTTTGATATAGAAACAAATGAATGTGTAATCCTGTGTTTTGAGCATGTGTACTTATGGATGTAATCTAACAGTGTTATAAACTGTTCACTTCTATGTATTACCTTCTATCTTCATTTACTTTTCTGCTTATTTGCCACTAACACTATTAAGCATTATGGAGTAGTTGACTGTAGTGTCCTGCTTTGTTTGACGTATCATTCCACATCTATAAAAGTATTTTTAAAAAACAGTCTAATTCTGGAATATTTGCACTTTTACTATTTATTTGTCACACCACAGGACTATTTTAGAAATAACCAAAGATAAAAAATATTTTAAAAAAGAGTAATGAAAATTCATGAAAAACCAATTTCATCATCTGAAATAAAAATTTTGAGAGCACATATTAAGCCTGGGATTCAAGATCTGGGCCCGTATTCTTAAAGCTTCCTCTCAGAGAGCTCCTGATTCAGTGTAAAGATTTCTAACTAGGGGTCTTAGCTTAAGAGTGATTCAGGACCAGTGCTGACCCCGTTGCTAGACATTACACATCCTTTTGAAGACTGTGATTGGATGTCCAAGAAGAAGAAAAAAAATCTATTAATTCCTATTTCCTATTTTACCCTAATCACACACACATACACAAATGTATTATTCCACCTGTCATAAAGTGAGAAAACAAGTATTTTAGGAATCTGTCAAAAATCTATTAAATGTAAAATTCTATTGTCATTTATTGGGCAAATAACAATCTGAAACAACTAAATAGTTTTAACTCACACATAATAACAAAAACTAAACTAAATATATTTTTTTAACTATAGTTTATTTTTATTTTGTATGGCCTTCTTTGGCCTTGATAAAAGCTAGTATTCTTGCTGGCATTGTTTTTATGTACTTTTCCACAGTCTCTGTTGTTGTTGACTTCCCAATAGTTTCTTGTTGTTCTCAAAGATGCTTTTGGTCAAACTTTTGTGCGATCTATCTTTAAATCCATTCAATCCCAACAATTATTTTTTTTCTAATAAATTTGTTAAAGGTGACATATCATGAAAATCATTTTCCGCCATGTGCTTCTCGTCCGTGCTTGTTTACCTCAGAGTGCGCACGCGTCTTTCACGCAGCATACAGCGGTGTTGTGCATTTTGACCAGTTGATGGGAAAAGTATTCTTAAAATGCATTCAAAATTCTGAATAATTTGTAATATATAATTATTCACGGTATTTAGAAGTGCCCACGATAACAATATCGTGCATATTCATTACCGTAATATATCGCATTACCGAATACCGGCCTAAGGATTAGTCTAATCAGAACCAAAACAGATGTTTTTTAGCAGGTACGAGCTGTAATGGCGCAGCTCTATTCTGGAAAATGGGGCGGGGAGCAGCAGCTCATTTGCATTTAAAGAAACAGGCCCGAAAAACAGCATGTTTCTGCTTCCACTCAAAATAGGCATTTTCAAAATGATATAATAAATGATCTGTGGAGTATTTTGAGCTGAAATTTCACAGACACATTCTGGGGACACCAGAGACTTATGTTACATATTGTAAAAAGGGGCATAATATGTCTCCTTTAAGCACTGTATGTATATATAGATGTTGTTGTGTCTCTAATAAGATCGGTCACAAGCATGATCCCTGCAGGATCTAATCTAGCGTCTTATTAAGTGACTGTCATCCATTGTCTGCAGCACATTCTTCTCCCTCTTCGTCTTTTGGCCATTTTCTCCTCTGCTAAAGAAACTCTTAAAGGTGACATCAAGAAAATCTGACTTTTCCAGATTTTAAGTGCTATAATCAGGTCCCCAGTGCATCTACCAACCAAGGAAACGTGAAAAAGATTAACGTGAGCAGCAGCTCATTTGCATTTAAAGAGACAGGCCCGAAAAACAGCGTGTTTCTGCTTCCACTCAAAATAGTCAGTTTCAAAATTATATAATAAATGATCTGTGGAGTATTTTGAGCTGAAACTTCACAGACACATTCTGGGGACACCAGAGACTTATATTACATATTGTAAAAAGGGGCATAATATGTCTCCTTTAAGCCTCTTAAAAGTCCTCCTCCCTACTTTTAACACTTTTTGACCTTAAGAGCTCTTTTAAGGGTTAAGATGCTTTGTGAATCACTTTCATCTTTACTAGGATCTTCTTCTCTTTCATTTTAAGGGGAAACGGCCACTTTTCTTAAAATTTTGTCACTAGGAGCAACTGTTTGCACTAAGAATTTTCTTGAATACGGGCCCTGGTTTTTATTTCAGATTCTGCATTGTTTATAAGTCACAAACTAAATAAGCCATTTGTGACTTTTGAGCATTTGAATTCCTTTTCTTGTTCCCATTGAAGCTCATGATGCTCTTTGTAAATTGTTCAATTCAACTTAATTTAAATCTGAAAATCCATTTTCAGTCTTTGTCAGACGTTGGACTCCAATGGATATAAATTGTAACCTAAAATCTTTAAAGAGATAGTTCACCCAAAAATGAAAATTTGATGTTTATCTGCTTAACCCCAGGGCATCCAAGATGTAGGTGACTTTGTTTCTTCAGTAGAACACAAACAGATTTTTAACTCGAACCGTTGCAGTCTGTCAGTCATATAATGGAAGTGAATGGGAATCACGGCTTTGAGTCAAAAAAACATACACAAACAAAACCAAATTAAACCCTGCGGCTCGTGAAGGTACATTGATGTGTAAAGAAACTTAGAATGCATGGTCTGTGCAAGAAACTAAACAGTATTTATATCGTTTTTACCTCTGATTCACCGCAATGTCCGAACTGTCCTGAGCGCGTCCTGAGCGTGTTCTCAACAGCCGGCGAGTGACGCGTCTTCTTCTTCTTTTTGCTTTGCATTGACACTCCTAATTGAGATTGTAGATAGAGTGTCAATGGTCCATTTGAGAGATAGGTGGCGGTAATGCACTTATAAGTCTGCGATCTGCTGTAAAGCAAGAAGAAGAAGAAGACGCGAACGCTCTCAGGACAGTTCGGACATTGTTTCTTCAGTAGAACACAAACGAAGATTTTTAACTCAAACCGTTGCAGTCTGTCAGTCATTTTAGTGTCAGGGTTTAATTTGGTTTTGTTTGTGTATGTTTTTTTTGACTCTCAAAGCCGTGATTCCCATTCACCTCCATTATATGACTGACAGACTGCAATGGTTCGAGTTAAAAATCTCAGTTTGTGTTCTACTGAAGAAACAAAGTCACCTACATCTTGGATGCCCTGGGGGTAAGCAGATAAACATCACATTTTCATTTATGGGTGAACTATCCCTTAAAGTGTAATTTTTTTTATTTTTTATTATTTGGACTGACGTCTCCTCATTTTCCACTTCATGAGTGTCTTTTAGAAATGATAAGCAGAGAATCCAGTCCATTCCAAAGTCACAAAGTGAGACTTTTTCTTCAGAAATGAATGGATACTATCCAAGCATCTAATCTGAATTAATCAGACAAAATGAACAGGTGTGTCCGTTTAGTTTATTAAAGTTGCGATGTAAACATTATAAGGTCAAAATGCACAAATGAGTCGTTCACAATAACATCCATAAGATGCGTCTTTTATTTTCATTCTGACTTTAATCAAATCTTCATCTTTCTGGCAGTGTCTTTCTTCATTGGTGTTGAAACATGTAGCTCAGCTCTAGCATAGTGCAATGTGCTGCCCACAGGCCACGATTATCCAGTCAAAGCTGAATAAAAGATTTGTTATTCAGATCTCAGCCAACTGAACTTTGTGTTAATGCAGTAACCATAGTTGCCAAACCTTTCCTACCACGTATGAAATCGTTTTGAGGAAGCTTATGTTTGTTTTGGTCCCGCCCTCATTCCTCTTTTCTACACCCTCATGACATCATCACCCACTGATGTACGCTGGACGCGGCCCTTTACTACTGATTCATGTTGTCATTGTGAAACTTTGACCTGTTCAGCTGTGCTTGTTATCAGAACGAACTCAAGGAATTTGAATGCTGGAAAAGAGCTGTAGGACTCACAGTTCCTGAAAAACTCTCCCATGAAATTATGAGATGGCTGACTTGTGTTTAAGTGCTGTTTATGAAATGCTGTAGACTAATCTGACTCAAACATTGTCTGTGAAATCTGTCTCCACCTTTACAGAAAGAGCAGACGCAGCCAACAACAGCGGACAGATGAAAGAGGATGAACGGACCAGAGGAGATGGCGTGCATGAAAGGTACATTTCCCACTTTATCAAAGTGTTGCAGACAAAATTAGCTCAGGTCATTTTTACATTGTTTTTATAAAGGCACACATACTATATGTAGTTCTAACAATTCTACTTCTCCTGGCTGTTCCTGATTTAAACCAGGGCCTGTCAGCTGTCGGCCTGTGGGCCAGATTCAGCTCGTCGGTCAGTTTTATGTGACTGCCCTATTGATTTTGGTGAAATCGCTGCTGCCTGATACCAGAAACCAAACTCAACTACGAGACTTGCATATTTTCAGCTATAGTATGTTTTCAAACCCTGAATCAGAACATTCAATTGTGTCTTATTTAATGCGTGGTATTCATAGCAGCAACTTTTCAGTCATTAAAACGAGGCGAGTCACAACAGTTGAAACAGTGACATGTGCACAGCTCACGTGTACGATGTGTCATATTCTATAAAAGAGAAATAAAAACCTTATGCTCTTTTAGCAGCATTTTAAAGGTTTTACCCGGTTTTCCTAATTTCTTAAAGCTCTACAATGTTCAAATAATCACTACAGTTTTGTTTTCGAAGTAAAAGTTAGTAACAATCTGTTTGCTAGTTGAAAGTGTGAGTTGTGAGTAGAGACTGAAGTTATATTTTAACCTAAAATCATAATACCTTAAAACAATACTTTAATATTGTGTTTAAAGGGGTCATGAACTGCCTTTGTTTTTTTATTTTGTATTGTTCTCTGAGGTCCACTCAATGATTTTTACATCATTTTTACATTATGTTTAGACTCCACTCATCAGAACGCTCTGTTTGAATAGGCATGACGGATTGTCGACTCGGAAGTAAACGCCCACTGCTGTGATTGGCTAACAGTTGCGTATGTTTGACAGTCTCTACAGCCTTCATAGATGGACGCTGCTGTGATTTAGGTTAAAAATGCATAAATACTCAGTACATATCAAACGATCTGTAATAACAGACAAGGCAATAGTGAGCACATAAAAACAGTTACTCACACTTGTGTGGTGCCACATTACTCTCAGATCTAATATATTCAGCACAGCATTGTCTTTTAGTTTCAACCTTTCTGAAAATCCTGCGTCGAATTGTGCCTTGTTTGTAAACAAATCCGCTGTAAAATTAAGTGAAGTAAAGTGATCTTACTGTGATCTTACTGCCGCCGTCTGGATCTTCATTAAAAATAAAGTTCTCCCACTCTTTCCTAATGTTGGGATCAGAAGGAAGGCGATGCAAAGACTGTGTTTTTTCCACAGGTTGGCGCTTCACAGCATCTTGTTGTCTTCGGAGCATCTTTATCGTTTGGTTTCTAGGTAGACCTGGGTTTGCCTCTCGTTATTTACACTGAATGCGTGAATCGGTGGGCGGGGCTAAACAGGCAGTG